ACTTACTTAAGAAAGCTCCAGGTGACTATTTCAAAGTCATTTGGTATTCTTTTCCTGTTTACTGAAGTGCTGACTTCTAAGAATAAGTGAAGGACTAGAAAGCTTTCTCGTCCCTAATTTTGCAGGCCTTCTTCCTCCACCTACTCCTTTCTCACCCATCATTTACAATAATGCTGCCATAAATAGGGGTCCCAGAGCAGTCAAAGTGACGTTTAAGTACTATATAAAATGTATAGGTTATTATTATTCATAGTAATACCGACAGATCTTGACTCTGCCAGTAACTACTAGCAGGAACTTGTCCAATTATCGCAGAGAGGCACTATTTTCTCTATCCCTTCCTCTTCTCTTCTCCTGGAAGGAGAAATGTTGAACTTCACAGGCAAGGGACCCCATATAATCTCTCAACTGGGAAAAGATAGAAAATGTCAAAGTTGTAAATCGAAGAGAGGCTGGGTGGGTACTTTCAATTCTGGAATATTCTGAGGTCCTGGGAGATTTGGATTTAACAAACGGTCAGAATTCTTTCAATTCAAGGATACTAGGTTCTCAGAAGCCTAGGAAAGACAGGAGGAAAATTGGCCTTTTGACACAATGCCTGAAGCAAGTCTCAAAGCTGTGAAAATGACCTACTCACGGGACCTACATCCTTTTCTACCCTTACCCTTACAGTCTAGTTCTAGCAAAACTCAGCTACAGATTTATAGCAATTTGAATGACACTTAAGAAAATCAAAGACTGGGGACATTGCTCAGTGGCTGAGCATGTGTTCAGCAAGCATGAAGTTTGGATTCAATTCCCAGGACTAAAAGAGTCAACAGACAGGTAAAAGTAGTTCCATTACTCTCTAGTCAATATTCAGAATTTATTAAAGAGAGCTTCCAGCCAGAATCCACCTTGCACTATGCAGATGTTATTACATGGGAGAAAAAAATAAGAGAGGTAACACTGTGGGCCCCAGAGAGCAGTCTCATCTTCTCTCAAAGTCTACCCATCACAAGAGGCTTCTTCTCTTTTTGAGGTGCTGGGGATTGAGCCAGGGCCTTGTGCATGCAAGACAAGCACTCTACCCACTGAGCTCTATCGCCAGCACCACAAAAGGCTTCTGTGATGCTTTTTTCCACGTGGGAGTTTAGGGAGGGAACAACTCCAAAAATGGACTCTCTTTTCCCACTCACTGCATGCACGTGGACCCATTTATTCTGATAAGTAGTCACGCTATTCTTTGCCTCTTTTTTTTCTGTCTTTTTGTTTTTTTGTAGATGAACAGCACACCTTTATTTTGTTTGTTTATATGTGGTGCTAAGGAGTGAACCCAGTGCCGCACATGCTAGGCAAGTGCTCTACCACTGAGCCCCGGCCTCAGGCCTACTCTTTGTCTCTTGATGAAGGGCATGGATGCTGCCAGGTGAAGCTGGAAGCAAAAAAAGGTCAAGGTTACTTCACTTCTGTTCTTTCCAGTGTTGCAAATACAGCTGTGCTGTGCTAGATGCATTTTAAGAAGAAGAAAGAAGAATAAGACCTCTGAAGGCTCTTACAGCATTAAATTTCCATGAAATATTATCTGTGTTGAGATTTGGAGAATAAATAAGCTGTTTTGAGGACCGAGTTCTCTGACTTACACTTAAGAAACTGGGAAAGACATAATTGATTTAAGACAGTGGTTTTTAAACTTTTTAAGTAGCAGATAATTTTTCTTGTCAATGAAAGAAAAAAAAATCTTTTTTGTTTAATGGTGCTGGGGATGGAACCCAGGGCCTTGTGTATGCTGGGCAAGGCCTCTGCCACTGAGCTACATCCTCAGTTTGTAACTGAGATCTTACACGGGACCTCACTGTATGAAACAGGCAAATGTGATGCTCCTCTGGCTGCAGCTTGGGTGAGGAACCAGGGGCCCCAACCTCTCAGCTCTCCCCTCACCCTTTATAGGATCTGCTGCCATCTCTGAGGAACACAACTGGCGGAAAGGGAAAGAAGTCAACATTTAGACAAATTAACAAACAAATACATTAAATGAATGGGGAAGAAGGGAAAGCTTTTCCTTCCTGTGGAGGAAAAGGATTTGGAAAATCACTACTTTGGACCAATGCAGTAAAGACTAGTTTGAGCAAAACTCTTCCATGGGCGCTTGATTCAGGAGGGAAAGTTTGGTAAGAAGCAGGAAATTTCTGTGACCTTCAAACAAACAGACTGCATATAAGGGAGGAAACACTGGTTATAAAGAGGCAAATGTTGCTGGTCTATAGACTTCAGAAATGTGAATGTCATGTAAGAAAAGGAAAAGTGAGGTTAGCATGCATGAGGCCTGAGGCTCAGTCCCCACCACCAGACGATACAATAAAAACTAAGAGAGGTACAACTAAATTCAGTATATGATTTTTGACTAGGTCATGTACTTGAGAAAAAACATGTTATAATGGACATTATTGGAATGCCTGATATTTGGAATATGGATTATCAGTTTGATCAAAATTATCATCATCATCATCATCATCATGGGGACTAAACTCAAGGGTGCTTTACCACTAAGCTACATTCCCAGCCCTTTTTATTTTATTTTGAGATAGGGTGCCACTAAAT